TTGAAAAAAATCTGTCGCGTAGAAAATTAGTGAAAGACTCAGAAAGAGCCTCCACATCCAACTGTCTTCGCTTTTTTAAAACAGATGGGGAGGCAGTCGGCTAATTCGAGGGGCCCGCACGTGTTGCATGTCGGGAAACTTCCCTCGCAAGGTGAAATGGAAGAATCCCGAGCGCCGCGGCCCTATGAAGAAGCTCGCGTGAGCGTGCTGCATGCCGGGAGACTTTTTTTTAAGCGGCCTTCCCCGCCCTCAACTGCCTCCAACTCCCCTTCGTTCGAAAGGGGACAGGAAGAAGAAGAAGAAAAAATCGAATCCCCCAACTGTCGCGTCACAAGGGAGAGCGTCGCAGGGGCCCAATGGGGAGGCGCGTGCGGCCCGCGTCCAGCCAATGGGGAGGGAGAGAGGGGCGGGGAGGAGGGCAGACAAAAGGCTCGCGCGAGGCGGAAGCAGGGGGAGGGGACGGGAATTGCTGCCGAGCTCGGCCGCGAGCGTAGGCCGCGACGTCGAGACAAGATGGCGGCGATGATGGCGCCCGCGGGAGGCTCCGCGGCCGGCGCGGCGACGGGCTTCGGGCCGGGCTTGGCGGGCGCCGCCGCCGGCTCGTCCTCGTCGTCCTCGTCGTCCTCCGGCGGCTGCCCGGCGGCCCTGGCCCCGCCGCAGCTGCCCCCGCCGCCCCCCGGCGCGGTGCGTATCGGCGACCGGCTGTACTCGGGGGTGCTGATCACGCTGGAGAACTGCCTCCTGCCGGACGACGCCCTGCGCTTCACGCCTTCCATGGGCAGCGGCCTGGACGCCGAGACCGAGGCGCAGCTCCGCGTCACCGGCTGCGAGCTCATCCAGGCCGCCGGCATCCTGCTCCGACTACCTCAGGTGAGGCCGGGCGGCGCCGGCCCCGGCCCGGGACTAGGCCTCGGGTGGCGGGGAGGGAGGGAGCCCGGCCGCGGGGAGGCCCGCGCAAGGGGGAAGGCGCGGCTGCTCCTCCGGAGGGGCCGGGAGACACGCGTGGTGGGTCGATGGGGCGCCAGGGGGGTTTCCAGACACCTCTCGTGCTTCTAGTTCTCTTCGTAAGGGATCCAAGGAGGAGTATTTAATGCATCTCCCACCTCCCAGCAACTGTTATTTTGTTTTTGGGCTGTTGGGAGCTTGCTGGGCAAGACTAAAAAGTCGCGGATTAGCCTTGTTGAGATTAGAGGCGGATTTAGTTTAGCGAGTGAGTTTCCCCTTGGAGTCTATGGAAGCTCAGTGTCCCTAAGCCGAGGGCAATCCGGGCGCTACAAGGAAGTCTTAGAGCTGGCCTTAAGTCTTCGAGGGAAAAATAATTCTGTCTAATGGCCTGCTCTGGATGAGGCCAACTTTTTCTCACTTCCTCTGTAAGGAGGAAATTGGGCACTTGGTCTCATTCAGAAAGCAGTTTCTACACGTGTAAAAAGGCTTGATTAAATTAAAGGAAGGTGGCTATGTTTGTTTATAGTAAGTGAAATACGTATCAAGGTATTATAAGGGACTAGGCTACCTTGTGAAGGAACACGAAGCTATAAAAATAGTGTGGCACTGTTATTAGGGGCATGGGATGGGGGTCTAGTCCCCACTTCACCATGAAGCCAACAGGGTGACTTTGGGCTAGTCACAGCCTCTTAGCCCAACTTACCTCACAGCCTTGTAGGAATAACAGAGAGAGCAGCAGGAGAGGATTGACGTGGGCCGCTTTGAGTTCATGGTAAGAAAAAAGCAGGGTATAAATCTAATAAATAATTATCTCTACATGGAGCTGTCTCCGATGTCATAGTTCAGTTGCTTGAGAGAGAGAGAAGTGGCACTGTAGGCTTGATAGCAAAAGCCTTGCGCCACTGAATAGGAGGTCTCCTGGGAGCAGTGAACACTCAAGAGACACTAGTGAAAACATTTTGGACTGGATAGTTTTTTGTTCTGATTCCTCAAGGCAGCTTCTGTATTCTTATGTAGAGTTTTTAAAGGCTCAGGGAGTGTGGATTTCAACCTGTCCCTCATGGTGGCTGTGTGGCATTTCCATGCCAGGTTGTATGAATCTCTGAGTAGCTTGGGTTAGGCCTGGGGAGAACAGCAGCAGAGGAGGGTTTGTGTCCTGCTTCTGAGCTTCCCAGAGGCCCAGAGACTAAACTGCAAATTCTTGGCTTGATCCCACAGGGAAGTTTCTAGTTTGTGTAAAGGTCGGTGTAGGTCTGTCAGTAATACTGAGTTATGATAGCTGAGTGCCCAGAAGCAGCGGCTCCTCTTAATACGAGGAGCTGGAGACCAATTAAAAGGGGGTAGTAATTTTCAGTAATACTTAGCTAGAGACTCAAGGGACTGATGTACTGTGTAGATGAGTGCTCTGATAAGGTACAGAAATTCTTAATGGGAAAGGACTGTGCTGGGGAATGGGAAAAAGTAGAGAGGATATTGAAGGCAAGCAAAAAAAGGGGGGGCTTGCTTAGCTGTGGTAGAACGATTGGCGCGGGGGCTTTGATTCCAAGCCTACTTCACAACAAAGGCCTTGTCGGAGGGTTTTATGGGGTAAGTAGAGCTAGCTCCTATGCCTGATCTATGTCCCTAAACTACACTTAAGCCAGATACAACATGAAAATGGCACATGGTTTTGTTGAGTTATGACTGCTTGTAAATGCTTGGTAGAAAACTGGTTGCAAAGTTGATAGGTACATATTATGGGAGCAGTAAGTCCAAATAAACCCTGACTGCTCTTTAGAAGGCCAGATACTGAAGCTGAAGCTCAAATACTTTGGCCACCTAATGAGAAGGAAGGACTCCCTGGAGAAGAGCCTGATGCTGGGAAGGATTGAGGGCAAAAGAAGGAGGGGATGGCAGAGGATGAGGTGGCTGGATGGCGTCACTGGGGAGGTGGGTGTGGGGTGGATGGTGGAGGACAGGAGAACCTGGAGGAATGTTGTCCGCGGGGTCACAAAGAGTCAAACACAACTTAGCAACTGAACAACAGCAAAGTCCAATTCTATTCAGGGACTTTAAACTGTGGAGGATTTCGAAAAAGTTGCTGTATTTAAAGAGAGTGGGAATAAAAGGAGTGAGAGGGGTTGTTGAAGGTTTCCCCCCCCAAGTTAGTGTTTTAGATGTAGGAACCGATGGGGGCCTGTGTGATCCTAGATCAGTTTGGTTCCTCTGTGCCTTGGTGGGGCTTTTCTTCCTTCTTCCGGGCACAATTGAGAAAAGGGTCTGAGACTCTCCAACAGAACACGAACTTTTCATGAGGATCCCGGCAGCAGCCAGGCGGGCGGCAGAAAGAAAAATCTTTTCGTCGAGGTTCCGAAGCTCAGTCGGCTTTCTGTTCCAGGAAGTGAGTGACGTAATGAGCCTTGGCCGGAAATTACAACTGTCCCTGCCCAGTCCTGTATGTTTGCCAGTGCATTCCCAGAAGGCCTGATAATTACTACTTCTCTGGAGATGCGGGTTTTTCCCTGCTGTTTTTTTCTCTCTCTCTCTTATGCTGAAACTGGCTTGCTGTGCCTCACTCCTCACACACAAATACTTGTTTTGGTTCTTTGAAAATACTTTAAGTGTAATCTGCTCTTCTTTTTCCTTCAGGATTCTTTCCAGCATTTTGGACTCCCAGATTAGGTTTTTCTTTTTTAATTAGAGGCGAGTTGGGAGGGAGAAAAAGCAAAGTACTTTTTAAAGAATTAAAACTGGATATTTTGTTAATCAGCTTTTTTGTTTGTTCAAAATAAATATTGGTTGCCTTTTAAGGGAAAAGCTATCCCAAGGCGATCTTCAACAATAAAAACATTTAGTATTTATGTTTATATTGTAACTATAGTGTTTCTTTATAACTAATGTTAAGGGTTGAATCCAGGGATATATCCCACTGACAGAACGGCTTCTACTGTTGGAAGCAAGAGAGGTCACTTCCCCCTCCTTTCCACAGGCCCTCCTTTACTGTCATGTCCTCTGAGCTTGTTTCACAGGGTCTGAAACCTTCCAAAGCTTATTCTCAGGGGATACAGCGAACTTACTGGGGCAGGAAGACTAGGATATGCCCAATAGGGTAACCTTGGCTTCAGCCCTAAATCTGGGTATAGACACATTAGCCATATTGGTCATCTCTGACCCCAGTCATTGTCACTGTCTGAATTAAATGAAGCTTTTTGGTGTAAGTGAGCCCATTTGAAAATCATTTTTCACCCGCTGGAACTACATGGTTCTATCTTACCTGGGAACTACTGGATCTTCTCTCAGATATGGGCACATCGTTTCTGTGTAGCACTAGTGTGAGGACTCTGTCCCTATACTTAACCTTGCAAAACTTCCTTTGGGGCTGGTCGTAGGAGAGGCTGTATGGGGGGACACCGGTTTACTCTACAGGTAAGTAGAGAAGAGCATGTAGAACGTATGTGGTATAACAGATGCCAGGTCTTGGAATATTTTTCACAATTTTAATGTTAGAAGAATTAGCTTCACAGGCTTATAACTTAGCAAAGGTTGGTTGGTGAGATTGGTGCTCTTTGTAAGGAAACATGAGAAAAGTTATCAATGGAAAACTTGATTTTTATCTTGCTGATCTAAGTAATCAGTCGGTTCCCTATGCATTGGAAAACCACAGTGGTCTGTTTTCAATTCCTTCAGACAGTTTTGCTTTGGCAGTATTGATACAAATGTTAATTTACAGTGCCGTTTTTCCTTAGGTGGCCATGGCTACAGGGCAGGTGCTGTTCCAGCGTTTCTTCTATACAAAATCGTTTGTGAAGCATTCCATGGAGGTTGGTGGCTTCTATTTTGAAATCAGTGGGTACCCTGCCCTGTTTCGTATATAACCCATTAGGATACCTTATTCGCAACCCTGTCCCAGCCCCACAATTCTGCATATTTAGTTACAAAGAATGGCCCAGGTTATTGCTTACTCCAAGCAGGTGTGCTTAGCATTACCATGGCCTGGTCTCACAAAGTGCAGTGGGTAGTCGGAACGGCGGGGGGTGCTGGGCACCATTTGCTCAATTCCCCACCTGGGCGCAGCTTGCCGTGTGATCTCCGCTTCCCCCACAGAACAGGCCAACCTGCTCCAGTTCAGACGGCCTAAGAAGCCATTTCTGGGCGCGCGTATCGGCAAACCTGCAGTTCGAACAAGCCACCCTGGCCTGTATAGCTATAATGAGTAACCCCGCAGCCACTTGCTTTTCCTTTCCAGAGCATACTTATCTTGACTTTTGAGGGGGAATTATGAAATCCGTTTCATGTACCACCATAGCGCCCGTTAAGAATGCCGTCGTTTGCATTTGAGGCAGCTTCACAAAAGAACCAGCAATTCGTAATGGCTACATAAAGCCAGAGAGTGTGCGGTTGTGTATGAAATCACAGCTGCTTTTATGATGATTTAGTGCTCTTATAGCCTACTTTTCTTCCACCATTGACAGTTGAAAAAGAAAAAGAGCATCCATGGGCTTCCTAGGTGGTCTCCCATCCAGGCACTTGATGGACCCGACCTTCATGGTTTTAGCAAGATGGGTGCATCGTATGCCCTAGGAGCATGTGCTTGATCCTCAGCCAAAGGGCTAGCTGGAATATACCCGTCTCTTCCTCTTCCTTCATCTAGCAAAATAGCCAAACAAGCTCTCATCAAAAGCTGGAGTCTTCCCCAACCTCCAGAAGTTTGGGCTGCTGCTCTCAACACTCCTGACCAGAGACCATGCTAGCTGGGGCTGATGGGAATTGCTGCCACAGACCTGGAGCTTGGCCACTTCAGCCAGCCTCTCCCAACTGGGAAAGAACAGTATTTGCACCTTCTTTGCTCTATCTGAGAAGGCACCATTTTGGCCTCGGGGGGCGGAGAGAGAGCCACAGGTGGTTCTTGGCCATAGAAAAGGCCCTCTCTGCCATAGCCTTCCAAGCTAGTTTGACATCTCAGACCGTGTAAAGCTTTGTTTGCAGAACGTTCCTTCGAATTGCTCCCAGAGACACGTCCAGTGAAATTGTCGGTGCGCAGAGTGGCCGAGCGGCCAGCTGTTGCGCTGGCTCGCCTGCAGGCCAGAATGAAACGGCGTGTCCCCTGTGCTTACCTTCCAGCACGTGTCAATGGCTTGTGTTCACTTGGCCTCCAAAATCGAAGAAGCACCAAGGCGCATCAGGGACGTCATTAACGTATTCCACAGACTTCGCTTTCTGAGAGAGAAAAAGTAAGCCTAGAAGTTGGGGGGATCTGGGGGGACCCTCAGCCTTAGGTGTTCATAGCATTGACTTCAGTTTGCAGCCAGTCGATCGTCTCGACTGGATTTCAAGTGGAGCCCCAGCTAGAAAAGCGGTAGAGTATTTTGCCAATCTCAGAAAGAATTTCGCATTTCCGGGAAGCGGAGCTGTGACTTAATGATAGTGTAGCGCAAAGAAGTCTTAATACAGCGACTTAGCATGGTGTGCAGCGGGGGAAATTGCCCTGGGTTGAACTAGGAGCCGTCCAGCTGTGACTGATTTAGGCAAGTCTGGGTTGAGAAAGCTTTGGACTGCTAAGGGCTGGCTGATCACACTGGAGGGAATGCTGCCTCAGCTCTGTGGCTAAAGAGGTGTTGACAGTTTCCCCTTGATATGCTCAGAGGCTAGAAGGTCAATCCCAGAGAGGGAATCCCAGTTTCACTGCTGAGGGAATCAACTGTTTATGTGCTTGGAGGTGGTATTTTGGGCCACTGTGTCTCATCAGCCGGCGGCTAAGAAAGCCCCTGCACCTTACCTCATCTGTCGCTTTCCCATTTCAACTCCTCTGCCCGTTCTCCCCTTCCTAAACAGGAAGCCGGTACCTCTAATACTGGATCAGGATTATGTTAACTTGAAGAACCAAATCATAAAAGCCGAGAGGAGAGTCCTGAAGGAACTGGGATTCTGTGTGCACGTGAAGCATCCTCACAAGGTTTGTGTTGCTCTTTCACTCCCTCGCTGCGTGAGCGCGTGTTCTGAGTAGCTGCCGAACCCGTAGCTGAGCCGTAGTTAACAGCAGTTGCCGTCTTTGTTTCTCATTTCAAGAAAAGCCCGCTAGTTGGTCCGGTGTCTCATGTGGTGAGTGAAGACGGGCGGCTTCAGATTTAAAAGTGCTGAGTAGTCTTAGCTATACTTGGATGCTCCACTCCAAGTCCTTAGCATGAAAGCTGCTTTTCCTTGTGCGTGCAGGTAACTTCGCGTTGTGAGTGTTGGGCAGTGTGCGAGGAGGCTCTGGGGCCAGCCCTGCACTGGTTCCATGCAGAACGGGGCTCGCTGCTTCAGGGAAGGGCTCGCGGCAACCAGCAGAGCTCGCTCTGCCTTTCCTTCCGCCTCCCTTCACGTCGCCGCTTCCTTCTTGCCAAGGTGGAAGAAACTGGGGAACACAATTGCCGTTCCATTTACAGGGAGGTCCAGGGAGGCCAGCAGCTTGTGGGGGGCAGGGTTAGCTGGCAGCAGTGGGGTAAAATGGCCTGGTCCCGTCTTAGCATAGCAGCAGCTGGCCTCGGAAATATGCCCGCACGCTGCTGGGTGGTTTTGCCTGGGCGGCTGCAGCCGGGAGGACGAGCCTGCCTGTGCCCCAGCTGGGCTTGAGCGAGTCCCTTCTCCGGCTCAGGCATGCCACCAGCCTCCCCGCCGGCCTTGGTGCCTCTGCCGGGGGTTGACCAGTTTTGCTACAGAGATGCCCGTGTTCGCTACCAGTGCTGGCACCGTTAGAGCTATAGCCAGTGCAGTGCACAGAGGGGCTTCAGTTGGGGTGGTTCTGAGCCAGCCACCCTCCCTCGCCCCGGCCTGCCCCTCAGGGCTTTTAGGACCTTGTTTGCTGCCCTGATCTCCTTAAATTAAGGAAGGGTGAGAACAGAAGGTGAATAGAATCTGCTGCTGCGTATGTGAGCTTGAATGAAGGCCACCTGGACTATCACCTGTGCCGCTGTGAACCTCTCAGGAGGTGCTGGGTCATCCCGAGCTGTAGTTGGTGGTCACCCTGCGGCACAAATTCCTCCTGTCTGGCCTCTTTCAGCCCTTGGTTTCTGCAGCCTGTCACGGTGCTTGGTTTGGTTTTGTAAAAATTTCAAAGCCTGTCCTGATGGTTCTGACTCTTGAGTCAGTTAACTTGAAACTCCCACGTTGCACAGCCTCTCCGCTCTGGCCAGTCCTGCTGCTCCGCTAGCAAGCCGTTGAGCATCCTTACTCTTCCCTCTTTCTTTAGTGGCTTCTACTCTAGGCTTGAGGCGGGCACTGAAAAAGGGAGGCACCCTAATCCCAGCGGTCTTTGGATAGCTCAGGAAGCACCTGTAAGCAGGTTAGAGCCATGGATTTAAAAGGCCGAGCCTGCAGAGCTGAGCACAGAGGAGATCAGTTTTTGCTTTGCAGCCATGTTTTGGGTCCCACTTCTCTGCCTACCCAGGGCACACGGTGGGCATTCCTAGTCCTCATGGATAACTTCATGGTCCAGAGTAGAGCAACCTGGCTTGCATGGGCCACCCTCCTCTATCTAAGTAGAAACCTCGGACCCCAGCTCGATCGCCTGTATAACGCAATCACCCATATCTTCCAGATAATCGTTATGTACCTTCAGGTATTAGAATGTGAACGTAGTCAACACCTGGTCCAGACCTCATGGTAAGTTGATGCTTCTTGTTTTGCTTGAGGCCAGCAGGGCAGTGGCAGAAATGTGTCAAACATGTTTGGGGGCAGCCCCCACTCGCTCCTGTGCCGCGTTTGTGGCATTCCGTCTTAGGTCTTAGCATGGAATGCCGCTTCTGTCATTCCACGTTGATGGGCCTCTTTGTAAGCGGCTCAGACAGTGTCTTACCTGGTAAGAGACCTTGAAACCCTCATGGGTCCCCGCTCTGCTCTTCCTCCTCCCACTGCCCGTTGAGTTCCTTTTAAAACGAAAGCGCTCCGAGTGTGCGTGAACTTCAGGGCCTCGCTGGGTCAGACCAGCTAGGTCAAGGTCCAATTCCAGCAGGGCCTGGAGGCAGCGGCTCTTCCCTGTTCACAGCATGTGTTGATCCAAGGTATACTGCTCCTGTGTATGGCTGTTCCACCTTGCTATGGCTATGTGTACCTGTGGTTATGGGTGCGGGGAGGGGGTCTCTCTTCCCATACAAGCAATTCCCCCCAAAACGTTTGTTGAAACACTCCCTTTCATGGACTCCTTTTACATCTTGCAACTTAGACACGTTTCCAGCTGCTCACCCTGGGGGAAGTAATACCTCGTTTTCATATGCAGTCTGTCTTGGGCCTGGTTTTAACTCTCTGGGAACCGATCATCCCCCTCTCCCCTGGTTTCGTTTATCAATCAGTAACCTGTGAAACTGACATGACGTAAAAGTTGATCTAGACGCAATTGATATGAACTGATATCTGGTGCTGTGTGGAAGGAGAACCTCTCTTGACTCTTCTTTTCTGTTGCTCTTTTGATCAAAGGGTAGCCTCTGAGGGTAAGTGACTAAGACTTCTCCTCTGCTGCCCAAGCGCTATGGTGCAGGGATTACTGCCGTCTTCAGTCAAATCCAAGCAGGCTCCGCAGAGAGAAGGCTGACTAGACAGGTGGTATGCCATACATAGTAGAGTTGCAACGGGCCGGCTTCTGCTTGTGGTTTCCTCCCCGACTTGTTTCACTTTGATTTGCACACGTTACAGATAAGTCTGTGTGACTGGCACGATGCTCTGATACCATGTGTTTTATAAATATATGTATAGATATATATTTATTTAAAGCAAAATGCTTAATTAAAGTTGGGGTTTCAGTCTGACTGGGTCGTGAGGGTGGGAGGGGGGGATGATAAAGGCTGGAAAGAACATCTGTAACGTTTCGTTTTGTTATTTTTACTTTCGTGACCGAAACCTTGCGTGTTGCAATAAAGAGATGTGTGAACCTTCCTTAGCTGCCAGATGACAAAGCACCACACCGGTTTTTCTGTTATTCTTTAAAAGGTAGACCTGCCCGTCACTGTTCAGTGTGTCCGCTGGGGCTTTGGATGTGTTTTCTTCATCAGCACCAGCCCCCTGTGCCTCACGACACACACCTTTGGAACTCAAGGGCCTTAGAAATTAGGCTGTCACTTAGAATCCGGGGGTGGGATAGAGAAATGGCGGCAAATAAATCCAGGCTCCAGCTAGGTGCAGGCAACCCGTTTGGTTGTCCCGCATGGTCATTCAAATCCCATCTTGTGTCTGATGGGAAGGAAGACCTACAGTAAAACTTTGCTTAGTGAATTGTCCCATAAAAATGCTGTATCCTGTCACATAACAGCCAAGTTTTAGGGTGCAAAAGGGTGCTTACAGAATCGTAGGAGACACTGAAATAGCCACGTCCAGAGGAGTTATGCAGGTAAAGAATTGGATAACCCTGTAAGGCTGGTCTGGTCCGTAGTCCAACCCAGCTGAGTTGGCCAGAGACACGATTTGCGGGTATCTGGATCTGGTTACTCGACATGGTAGAGGCCTCCATCCCAACGCACCTCTTGCTGCCTTCTCCCAATCCAGGGACAAAATTGCAGCTAACCGAGGCTGGTCATTCTTGATCCCTTGAACCCGGATCAGGCATCCTGGCATTAGCCCTTCTGTGCAAATTCAGTCTTCCAAGACTCACTTTACATAGTTATCCATTCCATAATATAACAAAGCTTTGCTCTGTATCTAGTTCTTAATCTGCCTGATATCCTGGACCGTAAGATAATTGTAATTGCTGCGTTTCTGAGTGCACTCGAGGGTTTTGGTTGCAAAAAAATGCCGTGCCGAGTCTTCTTTGGAAGGTCCCCTGTGCATAAAGTTACTGACGGTGGATCATATGCAGTATTTTTGCCGTTGCCCTCATTCTGTGAGCATTTGTTTTGAGACACCTTGTTACAGTGGGGCAATGAGGAACCAGCCAGCCAAACGACAGCCCAGCAGCTTGAAGGCAGTGGCTTGAACTGTGGCCCTTCGGTGGTGACCTCGCTAAACATCAGAGCTGGACTTCCGTGACTGTGTCTTGTGCTCAGAAAGGAATGTGTTTTGAAAAAGCATCCGAACGGAAAACTGGTCCCTCCGAAAGGAACTTGCGGTGAAAGGACGGGATGTTGGACAAGCCTCCCTGGGATCTACAGCTTCAGACTGTTTTGAGTTTGCATGTTGTTGCGCATCACGGGATTAAGCCTAGATTTTGAAGACAGTCCTTCAAACTCTGCCAGAAGTTGTGCCTTCCGAGACTAAACTAAAAATCATTGTGCTTTGCATGGAAACAGGCCAGTAGAGCATAGCAAGCAGAAAAGTGAAGTTAAAATGGGTTCTCTCTCATAAAATGCCAGCATCCAGTTGATAAACTTCTGATAGCCATCATTCCCTGGATGGAGGCTGTCCGTCTGATCACTCCACCTTCTTGTCAGATTCCACAAGGTGCTCTGTCATTCAGCCCTTAGCTGTAAACTGCCTAGGGAAAACTAGCTACTAGAGACCAAAAGTAGCCTAGCCCACCGAGGGGCTCAGCTGGCGCTGGCAACCTCCTTTCTTGTCTTGTCTTTCAGGAACTACATGAACGACAGCCTGCGGACAGACGTCTTTGTGAGGTTCCACCCGGAAAGCATTGCCTGTGCCTGCATTTATCTTGCTGCTAGAACCCTTCAGGTTGGTACAAGCTGCATCCACCCTCCTGCTTTCCCCGTGGGCCTCCCGCAACTGAGGAGTAAAACCGTGAACTCCTTTTGAGTGCACCACGTTGGGATGTAGTTTAGTGGTACTGGTTTCTTTGTACTTTGCCCTCGTGCACAGAAAATGGTGCATTAGGGGGTGGTTGTTTTCCACCTGTTCCCACCTGTTAGCTTCCTGGCCTTGTTCTGCTCTCAGGCACCTGAGGATTACCAAACCTGTTGATCCGTACATGCATAGATCAATTTCTTACTTGCAGCTGGAATTCCTTGAAATAGTCTTGTGCTGATGCTCAAAACGGCAGGTCCAGAGGAGTTTTTTTTAGTGTGTTGGGGTTCATCTCTCCCGCCTGCCTTTTATTTAGACTTTTGGGTACTTTGCCTCCCTTTGGCCACTTCAGAAACAGTGACATTCTGTGGCAGTAACCGGGACCGTTTCTCAGATGTGTCCACAGCTTGCAAATGTTCTCACCCCCTCTCAGTGGAGGAAACCTGAGGCTGAGCACCTTCAAACCCCTGATTCTCAGAGTTGCTCGGGTTTGCTAGCAGGAATGTGTGGGATCCCTTTCCAGACGCGTGTGGAAAACTCCCTTTCAGACTTGACAACGAATAGTGGGCCATTGGCAAAGCCGCGTGGAGCTTCATGCCCCGGGCATGAATTAGCCCAGTGGGATTTCTGTCTCTCATACCATCCCTCAGCTCGCTTTGGTTCTGATACTTGCCTGTCAGCGTCTGGTGCTGGTGGGGAAGGAGCAGTTCCGAAGCCCCCCTTGGCCCTGCACTTCTCTGGCCTCTGTCTTGGGAAGGGAATAGAATACGCGGGAAGAGCTTGGCCGGTTCTCTTTGTGAGCTCGTGGCCCCCGGGATCGTGGCTGCCTGGGCGTGAAGGTGTGTTCTGCAGCATCTTCGATGAAGTGGAGGCTGCCTGGGGAGGGTCAGGCGAGGCCCGCTAGGAGTTCACCTGCACCATGGGTGCCTCGTGTTGGAAGAGGGTGAACTTAATGCAAGCCCGGTGGCCTGGTTTGGACACGGCTGCAGTGTGACTGCATTCCCCGTGTTGGAAGAGACTCTTAAATCGGTTTGCCCTGTTCCTCACAGATTCCTCTTCCCAATCGCCCCCACTGGTTTCTACTCTTTGGAGCCACAGAGGAGGAAATTCAGGAGATCTGTATGAAGATTTTACAACTATACACACGGAAAAAGGTTTGTTAGTGCCCGAGCTGTTGGGGGGGGGGGCGGTTTCTCCCAAAACATGGGGACAGGATAAGCACAGAGGGCCCTTGGCAAGTTAGAGCCAGAATTCAAAGCTTGATTTCCAGACGCCATGGCCCCTCGCTGTGCCACATGGATGTTGTGTTCTATTTAGAGGCAGACACATGGGTGTTGGAAGCAGCCTCGCCCATTACCCTCTCCCTGCTGCGGCGGCCTTCCCTTTTCGTTCTTGCCCTGGCATTTTAAGACCACTGGGAAGGCGCCGTGCACCACCGGCCTGTCTTGGCACCCAAATAGCGCTGACACGCCTGCTCTCTCCCCTTGCGTTTGCAGGTCGATTTGGCGATCCTAGAAGGGCGAGTAGAAAAGAAGAAGCTGGCCATTGAAGAAGCAAAAGCACAAGCCAAGGGCCTTCTAGCAGACGGGAAGCCCAGTCTGGACGCTGTGTCGGGGTTCTCCCCTGTCCCCAAAACCGGTTGGTTCTCCTGATGTGTGGGGTTTGTTTGCTACTCAAGGCAGGCCTGGGTGATACTGGGAGCAGAATGAAGCAGCTGGATGTCGGGGTGTCATAATACTTCAAGCTGTCGGGGTGGGGGGTGCAGTTTCCTTTCGGTGCTCCCCTGCGCTAAAAAAAGACAAGAAGAAAAGGTCGCCTCGCAAGTGGAAAACGAGCATGCCAGGGGAGTCCTTGGCGTACTGTGCGGGCTCGGCTTGAAAATGGGGACAAGCAGGAATTGCTGGGCCCAGAGCCAGTGAAGTGCCACCTCTTAGATGGCCTGACAGGCCCCCGAGTTAGGTTGAACTTGAACTGAAGAACCTTCCAGGCTTTTTCCAGGGTTTCCTGAGCATGGCCTATGGAAGCAGGATGTATATTAAGCTGAGCTTTCTGAGACGCAGGCCCGAAGACCGCCTGACCGGATTCTCTTCTCTTTTCTGCTGCTTTAGAATCTCCAAAAGAAAGCAAAGGAACCAAACCTTCCCCGCTTGCCATGCAAGTGATAAAAAACGCCAAGAGGAAAACAGAAGGGATAAAGAAGGTGAAATCCAACAGTCCCATTAACGGGTAAGACCTGTGCACTGGCTTCTGCTGCGTTTAGTTTGTTATGTTTGCGCAGTAAGGCGGACTCGTGGCAGTACGGGAAAGGACCAGTAAGGACTGGAGGCTTGACTGGCAGGAGCCACCGTCTTGGCCGCTCCCCCGCAGCTTTGCTCATTGCAGTGGGGGATAAAAATAGACCCCAACACTTCCCAGAACGGCCAGAGAGCAGACATAGCGTACTTCACTTACTCCTAGGCAAAGATTTCGAAGCCCTGTCTCTAATTCTACTCTCTGCCCCGCCTGCTTCCTAGCCTTGCCCAGAAGCACGTTTTCCCAACCAAGAGAACTAGAAACCTGCTTTGACGTGAAACCAAAGTGGCGTAGCCAGGAAGTTGGATTTTGCACGTTGGGCCATGTCATGCGCCAGGTTGCGGGTTTGCCACTGGGGAGGGGACCGTCAGGCATTGAATGGGGGGGGCACACGAGGACAGAAGCCGCATGCGATGACCGGGACCTTCCTTGTCCTCACAGCATTCAGAAAGGCCGGGAGAGCAGGAGCCGGAGTGGGAGCAGGGAGCAGAGCTACTCCAGATCGCCCTCTCGGTCTCCATCTGCCAAGCAGAGGTACGTCCTGCAGCCGGGTCACCGTTCCGACTCTCGGGATCTTGCCCCAGGGGGAGAGCAGCCCACTGAGGGCACTGCCTCTACCCTCTTTCGGAGGGGACAGCGAAAGGCCCCTTCCCAGGTTTTGGCCACTCCTTCCCCACCATGGCTGTGCTGGCCGGAAGTCCCGAGAGCTGCAGTCCAGAAGACCCCATGCTGGGGAGGCTGCCCGGGTGGTAGCGACTGCCCCCCGCTTGTGGTGGCACGGACGTCAGACGTGCGAGTCAATGGGCCCGGGTCTCGTAAGCGGGGGCAGCTGGTGCCCAGAAGGGCAGCACTCAGGCTCCTCCTCCTTCCCCCCCCCTTCACATTAAACAAGACTGGCCC